CAGCAGACGCACGAGACGTAGTTGAGGTGTATGGACACACGCCCTTCTCTTCTCCCTGTCTCCTCGCCGGCGCCGTCGCCGCCACCGGGTGTACAGACACCTCAGCGCATGCACTCTTTGCTGGGGCTTCTGCAGAATGTAAACCTCCTGCTGCTGCTGCTGCTGCTGCTGCTGCTGTTGCTGATGATTGTGCTGCTGGTGTCGCTGCTGCTGCTGCTGCTGCTGCTGGAGAAGCAGAAACAGGGAAGGGGGGGTAAAGGTTTATGTGTTGGGCGGGCGTTGCTGCTGCAGCAGCAGCAGCAGCAGCAGCAGCAGCAGCAGCAGCAGCAGCAGCAGCAGGAGCAGGAGCAGCAGCATGTAGAATATATTTCAGGTGTGTATGTATAAATATATTTGTTTGTTGCTGCTGCAGCGAAAAAAAAAAAACAACGAAGGGGGCTGAGGCCCCTTGTTGAGGCCTTTGGCCGTCACTGTGCTGCTCTCCTCGCCCGCACGGGAACCTCCACTATCTCTCACGCTGTAAACCCTAAACCCTAAACCCTAAACCCTAAACCCTAGACCCTAAACCCTTCTCGCTCGCACAGGAACCTCCACTATCTCTCACGCTGTAAACCCTAAACCCTAAACCCTAAACCCTAAACCCTTCTGGCTAGCACAGGAACCTCCACTATCTCTCACGCTGTAAACCCTAAACCCTAAACCCTAAACCCTTCTGGCTCGCACCGGAACCTCTACTATATCTCTTTCTGTATCTCTAAACCCTAAACCCTAAACCCTTGCAGCTTGCAGCTAAGCACTCCATACCTATCTGGCACATATTCTGCGTAAACCCTAAACCCTCGGAATAGCAGCGTTTCATGTGTCAGATTGTGTTGTGTATCCTAGGGTTTAGGGTTTAGGGTTTAGGGTTTAGGGTTTAGGGTTTTGTGCAGGATGCATTGAAGTGCGCGGGGGTGCTGGTGAGACAGGCGGAGGCTTGTGTTGCTGCTGAGGCTGTTGTTGCTGCAGCAAACGAGGTGGGGTTGCTGCTGCGGAGACAGGGGAGATGGGTGCTTGATAGGGCCCTTCTAAACCACATCTAAACCCTAAACCCTAAACCCTAAACCCTTATTTTACCCTAAACCCTAAACCCTAAACCCTTATTTTACCCTAAACCCTAAACCCTAAAACACACACTTTGCCTCAAACCCTAAACCCTAAACCCCATATGTAAGGATAAACACGAGAAACCCCCGTCTGACGCTAAACCCTAAACCCTAATTCATACATCTAAACCCAAACCCTAAACCCTAAACCCTAAACCCCGCATCTAACCCTAAACCCTGATTCCTTGCGTCGGTGCCGCAAGCTAGCCAGTGGCTGCCTCCTGCAACCAGCACTCAGCAGCACCACTGCAGCAGCAGCAGCAGCAGCAGCAGCAGCAGCAGCAGCAGCTGTTGCTGCTGCTGTTGGTGCTGCTGCTGCAGCTAAACCCTTTTCTGCTGCAGCAGCAGCTGCAGCAGCAGCTGCAACAGCAAATTGTTTTTTTCGGTGTTTATAATCTGTCTGTTTAGAATTTCTTTTGTCTTGTGGTTTTTTCTGTTTTTTTATTTGTTTGTCTTTTTTTTGTTTTTATTTTTTTCTCTTTGTTTGTCTCTCTCTGTCTCTGTCTCTGCTTTTGTTTGTCTCTTCTTCTCTGCCTCTGTCTCTGTCTCCATTTCTGTTTTTTTTTTTT